ACATTGCCTATACATCACACTGGTCAAGGTCTCCTTCCTACACCTTCCTTTCCTTTTCATCTATCCCAAATGCTTCATGTTCCTTCCATCTCTTCCAATTTACTTTCTGTTCATCAGCTTATTTCTGATAATAATTGCACTATTACTTTTGATAAAGATGTGTTTCTTATACAGGACAAGAGTACCAAGATGGTGCTCTATAAAGGCTTTCATTTCCATGGTCTCTATCACCTTCCTAGTAGTTCTATCCCTGCCTCTGCTGCTCCATCTACTGCATCATATTCACCAGCAACTTGTTTTCATTGTGCTGTTAATCGTGTTAATAGCTCTACTTCTCCTAATTGGCATTTTAGATTAGGACATCCATCATCCAGAAAACTTCAGTATCTTGTTAAACATCACATGGTGTCTCCTCCATCTGTTGATATTAATAAAATGTGTTCTCATTGTTGTGTTTCCAAAAGTCATAGACTACCATTTAGTTTGTCAAATTCTACTGTCAATAAACCTTTGGCTCTCATTCACACTGATGTGTGGGGCCCATTCACTTCCACTGTTGCTTCCTACAAGTATTATGTAATTTTCATTGATGATTACAGCAAATTTACCTGGTTATTTCCCCTTTATTACAAAAGTGAGGTATTCTCTAAGTTCTTGGAGTTCAAGGCTTTTGTTGAAAATCAGTTCTCTACTCACTTACAAGTTTTACGCAGTGATAATGGGGGTGAATATCTTAGTAACAAATTTCTTGAATTTTTAAAAAGTAAAGGTATTCAGCATCAATTAAGTTGCCCTCATACTCCTGTGCAAAATGGTGTAACTAAAAGGACGTACAGACATCTCATTGAGACTACTATTGCACTTATGCATCACTCTTCTTTACCTCTTGCTTATTGGTTTGATGCCTTAGCCACATCTGTTTTTCTGATTAATAGGCTTCATATTGCTAAGCTTAATTTTCTCACACCTTTTGAAGCCTTGTTCCAGCAGTCTCCTGATTATACATTTCTTAAGACCTTCGGTTGGCGATGTTATCCATGGCTTAAACCTTATACCACTTATAAACTACAATCGATGTCTGTGCCTTGTGTGTTTCTTGGCTATGTTCCATCCACTAAGGGCTATAGGTGTCTTGATCCTTCCACTGGCAAGGTGTATATCTCCAGACATGTTGTTTTTTATGAACATAATTTTCCTTTCGCTTCTTCCTCTACAGTCCCATATGTTTTTTCTTCTTTGTCCCAGCTCAACTCATTTTTCTGGTCTTCACAACTTGCTCCTGCTGTCATTTCCTCTCCACTTGCTGGATCTACACCTGCAGCTCAGTCTTCGAACAGTTCTACACCTGCAGCATCTGCAGCTATACCTTCTACAAGTGCTACACCTGCAATTCTGCCTTCCACAGATTCTTTTCCATCTGTTCCTTTTGTGTTTGGTCAATTTAATTCTGTTCAAACTTAGCCTGTTCAGTCCCCTGCCCTACAGTCTGTCCAGCCTCAGTTTGTTCAGTCACCTGCACTACAATCTGTCCAGCCTCAGTCTGTTCAGCCACCTGCACTCCAATCTGTTCACCAGTCTGTTTCTCCTCATCTGTTTTCTGCCCCAATTCAGTCTCCTCCTTTGCAGGTTCCTTCTTCTATTCCCATTTATTCTTTATCTGTTTTTCTACCTTCACTTCCTTCTACTAATACTCACTCTATGATTACTCGATCCAAATCTCAGCCACATTGTTTACTTACCACCACAGATCTTACTAAACCACAATCCTATCAAGAGGCTTCTCAATCAAGTGCCTGGACTGCTGCTATGAAAGATGAATATGATGCTTTAATCCGACAAGGGACTTGGACTTTAGTCTCTCTGCCACCCACCAAAAAGGCTATTGGTTATAAATGGGTATTTCGTCTAAAGAAAAATTCTGATGGTACTATTGCTCGGCATAAAGCCAAGTTAGTTGCCAAAGGTTTTCTTCAAACTGAATGTATTGATTATTTTGAGACATTTAGTCTAGTAGCCAAGCAGCCTACTATTCGCATTCTTCTCTGCTTGGCTCTTCACTTTCAATGGTCTATCAAACAACTGGACATTTCAAATGCCTTCCTTCATGGTGTATTAGAGGAAGAGGTCTACATGCATCAGCCCATTGGTTTTGTTGACACCACACATCCTTCCATGGTTTGCAAACTCAATAAAGCCTTGTATGGCCTCAAACAAGCTCCTCGAGCTTGGTTCTCCACCTTTTCTTCCTTTCTTCTCACTCAAGGTTTTAAAGCTAGTCATTGTGATTCTTCTTTATTTGTTAGGAAGACTTCTCACTCCATTACCATTTTTTTAATCTATGTTGATGATATACTTCTCACAGGGAGTGACTCCTCTTATATTTCTTCTCTCATTACCCACATGCACTCTACTTTTTCAATGAAAGAATTGGGGCTTCTTAACTATTTTGTGGGTATTGCTGTTACCTCTTCCTCCTCAGGTTACTTCTTATCTCAAAAGAAATATGCTACTGAAATTTTAGTCAAGGCCAGTATGACCAACTGCAAGTCTTATCCTTCACCTATGACCATTACATCTTCTTCTGATCCAGCAGCAGACTTGCCTTTCTCTCAGCCTTCCCTCTATTGAAGTCTTGTTGGTGCCTTGCAATATCTGACTTAGCTTCTGCTGTCAATCATGCTTGTCAGTTTCTTCAAACCCCTCACACCAGTCATTTTTCTTTAGTTAAGAGACTACAGAGGTATCTTAAAGGAACTCTTCATCTTGGTCTCCAATTTAGTCCTGGTCCTCTCACTTTACATGCCTTTTTTGACTCGGATTGGGCTGGTTGTTCTCTTGATCGACGATCTACAACTGGTTACTGTGTATTTTTAGGTCCAAATCTCATCTCTTGGTCAGCAAAGAAACAACCCACTGTCTCCAGGTCTTCTACTGAGGCTGAATACAGAGCCCTTGCTCAAACGGCTGCTGAACTTAGCTGCATTGGTATGCTACTCTCTGATTTGACCATCTCTGTGTCAGCTCCTACCCTTTGGTGTGACAACATGTCTGCTATCTCCTTGAAGTAGATTATCATTATGTTCGTGAACGAGTTGCAACCAAGAAGTTTCACATCCATCACATCTCATCCATGGATCAGCTTACCGATTTGTTTACTAAACCTCTTGCCTCCTCTCATTTCCTTTATCTTCAGACCAAACTTCTGGGTTATCACTCTCCCATCAGCTTGCAGGGGCATGTTAAGGAGCTCAACCAAAGCCAAACAACAGCAGCACATCATCATCAAAGCAGGGTCACAGCAGAGAAGAGTCACGTGTCAAGCTCCAAACAGAATTAGTTAGATTAGTTAGATGGTTATGAATTAATCAGAGTTAGGTTATATATCAGTTACATGTAAACTGTAGTTCAATAGTAGTTACATTTTCATTTTCTCTGTAAATATGTATAGAGAAGAGTCACGTGTCAAGCTCCAAACAGAATTAGTTAGATTAGTTAGGTGGTTATGAATTAATCAGAGTTAGGTTATATTTCAGTTACATGTAAACTATAGTTCAATAGTAGTTACATATTCATTTTCTCTATAAATATGTATAAGCACTGTACTCAAAATTAATGAAATAAAAATAGATTCAGTTTTCCTTTATGTTTTATTATTGAATTTCAAGTCATTTTATTCAAATTTGTGATGTGTTTCATGTGTAGTGTTGGGAAGTGTCCAACAAGTGTCATGTCATTACCTTATTAGAAGTGTCCGCACTTCACAGCTTTTGACCAAAGCTCCCCCAATTTCCCCTTGTGAATATTCTAATTGGGATACCTGAATTGGTTTCTCTGAATTTTCATTTTTTTAAATTATCGATTTCTTTAAATTGTCATCACTTGATATTCAGTCCTGATGACTATCACCATTGAAATGCATTCACTACTTACTTTCTTTGTAACAAGGAGGAAAACTTATGAAAAATATTGGGAATTTTTATTTTTTGATCAGAAACAAACAAAGAAGAATATTGGGAACTTTGTCTTGATTCTTTTTCCTACTTATTTAATGGCTTCGTGATTAAAAGAAAGGTTAAATCTTCTCTATCTGATTCCTTATAGATTATTCTCTAGTTTTGTTTTTTGGTGCTTATTGAATTGATTGCTAACCTGCTGCAATACTTTAATAGCACATTTTTCATTAACCATGGAAATTTCCTCGCTTTGCTATGTTTCATAAATAAATATTTTTAATGTTAATATTTTTTGTCACCTCACTTCCGAAAACTAATTATCTTACCGCAGCAATGGGAAGAACAACCTGACTAGTATTTATTTTATTGAACCCCTTCTGATCATGCCTTGAATTAGAAAGTACTACTTTTATCTTTGTAACTTCTCATTTTCTCCTCTGTAATTTATGAATGGTCATCATTCTAGTAGCAACACCTTATTTCGCATAAAATATATTATTGCTATATGCCCAATTTATATTCTTGCATAAACTGAAGTTGAGTTGCTTGATCAACTGAGTTTTAGTTTGGGATTTAAAGCATTTATGTAAAACCGTTATTTGATGGGTCCCACAATGATTTTTCCTACAATAACCTTACATGGCAAGGTCCTGATCAGCCTGCTTGTCAGGAGAACCTGTAAGAATACATTTTTCTACTTTAATCCTGCTATATACTTCCAGTTCAGTGGCAATTTTTGTAATTTTGACAATTATCTTTATCTTTCATTTTATTTGGAATCTATACATAAATTTGTTTAAAAGCTCTCTGAAGGAGAACCCCTTGTAAGATGCTCCTTTATTTATTTTTTATTTCCTCATTTTCTAAAGTTTCATAATTAGCTTCTACTTTATCAACTGAAGTAGAAGGAGATTTCTACTTGGGTAGTCATTTTCTTGCTTAGTGTACATTTATTCTAATTGTTGTTTGGCTGATTCCATAACAGAAAGATAATTCTTCCATGTATGAAGGATTTCAATTGCCCAAGATGTAAGTATGTTCTTTTGAAGCATCAGTAGTGTGAACTATTTTTATTTTCTTGATGTCGAACAGCACTATAATGATTTTAATACTGAATTTCTGTGGGTTTTATTGTGTTTTAAAGCTGACTATAATGATTTTAATACTGAATTTCTGTGGGTTTTATTGTGTTTTAAAGCTGAAAATCAGTAAGAATTTTAGGGTTTCAATTACTTTAAGGATGACCTAGGTTTAAGGTTGATTAAAATGGGGAAAAGAAGATCAAAACAGGGGCTGTTCACCAGCTTTGAATAGAGCTTGTGAATAGTAAACTGGAAAAGAAAAAACAAAAAGAAATCTAGGCATCACACCATGATTCTATATGCATTCCACCTAGGGTTAGGGTTGCATTATACAAACTTGAAAGAGGCTTCAAATGAAAGTTTATAAAGGCCTCATATGGGAATTGGCCATTTTAGTGAGATTTTTTGATTTTTTGGCTTTTTTATGAGGTCAAAAAAATTTAATGTGTTTGGGAATAATTATTTTTGGTTGTATGAAAAGCTATGAATTACTAAGATGTTTGACCCCTTTTTTTATTGGCTTTTTTAGTGATTTTGTTTTACGTTTTGGCTATCCAAAAAGCCAAGTTGCCGAACAGTGCCAAAATATCAACACCGTTAAATTATAACTAAACTTTAGGCTTTCAAAACCAATCTAAGATCAAATAAAGCCCATAAATAAAAGTCAATTAAATAACTTGATCCACAAGACAACCGATGTAAGAAAATCTGAAATTGACCAAAATACCCCGAACCTTAAAACTGACCAGCAGCCTTCTGAACCCAAAAAACATAAATAAGACTCTATCAAGACTAGAAACATAATTTAGATGGTTACAATTGATCCCAATTGAATTCGGCTCGAAACCAAGCAATTTCCAAACATGAATACTTCCTTAATTTTGGTTTTCCTTGCTCCTATTGTGGATTGCATCATTTGTCCTTGTTAAAAAATCATTAAAAATTAACCTCATATTGTAATGCAAAGTTTTAGAACTGCTTATTTTGAGAACATAGTATACCTAACCTCCAAGCTTTTGGCAAGAAAATGTCCTGGGTGATACCAGACCTGTTATGATGCATATTGTTACCAAAAAGAAGTGAATTCCATGAACTTTTGAATCAAGCTGGTGCTATTTTATATGCTCTCTAACATTACTACTTTGATTTTCATTTCGACCCTATAAGTCATTTAGATTATATAAAATAAAAATATATATATAAAAAATTACAAATTAAGAATTTGAAAAGTTTGTCCATAATACTACAGCCTAGTAGGAAACTAAAAGCCAACCTAACCAAAAGCTTAATTTCATAATTAATGTCTCTTAGAAAAAATCATAATGTGTCTAGTGCATATTATGCCATTTCCACCAATATTTCACTTATTGCAGAGTCTTTATTAAATGTAATTTAAAATTGCGTTATGGTATTGTTTATATTTTTTCTTTTTATGGAAGATGGATGTTCGTTACATGTTAACTGTGGTGGAAATGATTTGACTATGAAAGAAAATGATAAAAAGGTTTTGTACGAAGGAGATGCACAAGTCGACGGTGGCGCGGCAAAATATTTTAATAGTATAAATAGTTATTGGGGTTTCAGTAGCACTGGGGACTTCATGGATGATAATGATTACCAGAATGCACGTTTTACTGAAGTTGTTCCATCAACAAACATCTCTGAATTATATAGTACGGCACACATTTCGCCTCTTTCACTTACTTACTTCCGTCACTGCTTAGAAAATGGGAATTACACCGTTAGTCTGCACTTTGCTGAAACACTTTTTACAAATGACAATACATATAGTGATGAAGATTCAACACAGCACCACTTACCACAGCAGTCCAAACAGTCCACAGTTGCAGCTACTATACCAGATAGTTGAGCACACAGTGCACAAGAAGGGCCAGAGCAGCAGTTCACGAAAGCTGAAGATATATCACACACCATGAGCTGTGTAACATGTTAACAATTCCCTTGTATTGTATGCAGTTAGTTTGTTGTATTGTATGCAGTTAGTTTGTTACAGAGTAGTTAGTTAGATTAGTTAGGTTGTTAGATGATTAGTTACAGATTTATAAAGTTGTATATAATGTAATTGTGAGATAAAAATAGTAAGTAATATTCAGACTTCTTTCATGGTATCAGAGCTGATAGAGCTTTAACGAGCATTCAACAATGGCATTATCTTCAATGCCAAATCTTTCTCTTCTTCTTTCTAATCTCAATTCGTTAGTCACTGTCAAACTTGACTCATCAAATTATCTAATTTGGAAAAGTCAAGTTCAGAATTTGTTTAGAGCTACACAATTTTTTGGTTATCTTGATGGATCGGTTGTTTGTCCTTCTTCTATAACAATGAATGCACAGAACATTTCAGTCTCCAATCTAGAATTCAGCAAATGGAAGCTTGTCGATGCACATCTTCTGAGTTGTTTAACTGCAACCCTGTCACCACCAGTGTTTTCTTCTGTATTACATCTACAGTATAGTCATGAAGTATGGCTTGCTTTGGAGAAGAGATTTACTGCTTTATCATGCTCACATATTCATCAACTCAAGAACAAACTTCAATCACTTTTAAAGAAATCTCAAACTATGAAGGCCTATATGCAACAGTTCAAAGAAATTTCAGATCAAATTGCACTTGTCACTACACCTATTGATGATGAAGATCTTATTCTTCTTGTTTTGAATGGTCTTCCTGATGAGTATAGCTCATTCAAAACAGCTATTTGAGCCAGATCTAGTGTTGTAACAATGGAAGAAATGTCCTCCTTGTTGTGTTATGAGGCAATCCACATTGAGAAGATCAATCTACATTCTTCTCCTAATATTGCTTTCTCTGCAGTTCAAGGCATTTCTTCTACATCTCAAACCCTAGCTTCACTATATCAGCCTTTTCAAGGTTCACACCATCAACATTTTCAGTCAGGTCCTTATCGACCAAATTTTTCTACTTACAGAGGAAATCGTTCCAGTTTTCATGGCAGAGGTCGATATACGAATTTTTCTAACTACAGAGGTCATCGTGGTTCAGGTCTTGTTTGTCAAATCTTTGGCAAAAACAATCACACAGCTCTTGAATGTCGTAACCGCATGAATCCAGCTTATACACCAGCTCTGAATCCAGTTTATGTACCAGCTTATTCACCTTCGTATGGCTCTGTTTCTAGTTCACCAACTCAAGGAGGCTATCCTCTGCCTCCTCTCTATCTTGGTGGTTCTTCTCCGTCTCCTACAGCTCCTCGTGCTTTCTCTGCTGCAGGTCCTGGTTCTTCTTCTTCTGTTTCATCTGAGGCTTCTCCTTGGTATCTTGATTCAGCTGCTACCACTCACATCAGTAATGACTTGCAACATATGCAGCTGTATCAACCCTATCAAGGTCATGATCAGGTTGTGGTAGGAAATATAGATTCTCTTCCTATTCATCATAGTGGAGCTAGTATTCTTCCTACTCCTACCTTTCGTTTTCAATTGAACAATTTACTTCATGTTCCACAAATTTCTTCCAATCTTATTTCTGTTCACCAGCTTACTCAAGATAATAATTGTACCATCACTTTTGATAAAAATTCCTTTGTTGTTCAGGACAAAACTTCGAAGGCAGTGCTTTCTAGAGGTTTTCACTCTCATGGTCTTTACCAGTTTTCCACTCCTCCAAAGGCTTATGTTTCTCAAACCATCTCTTCTACCTTGGGGCATAAGCGATTAGGTCATCCATCCACTGCTACGTTCAATACTATAGGTAAGTCTGTTCCTATTGTTTGTAATAAGGATAATACTGGACTTTGTTCTCACTGTTGTGTGGCTAAAAGTCATCGTTTGCCTTTTACCTTGTCTTTTTCTGTTGTTAATCAACCTCTTGCCCTCGTCCATAGTGATGTTTGGGGCCCGTTTACTCAAGATGAATCTCAATATAGTTACTATGTTCTTTTTATTGATGATTTCAGTGGCTTTACTTGGTTGTTCCCTTTACATTACAAGAGTGAGGTCTTTACTAAGTTCTTGGAGTTTAAGCTGTTTGTGGAAAAACAATTCTCAACCTCTCTTAAGATTTTTCGATCCGATGGTGGTGGTGAATATTCTACTCATAAATTTCACAAATTTTTCACTGCAAATGGTCTTGTTCATCAATTCTCTTGCCCTCATACTCCATCTCAAAATGGATTAGCTGAAAGAAAACATCGTCATATTATTGAAGCCGCTATAACTCTCTTGCATCATTCCTCTTTACCTCTCAAATTGTGGTTTGAAGCAATCTCTATTGCTGCTTACCTCATTAATAGGTTGCCTATGTCTCAATCTTCTTATCTTAGTCCTGTTCAGGTGTTATTCAGTGTCCAACCTGACTATGATTTTCTGAGAGTGTTTGCGTGTTGTTGTTATCCCTGGCTTCGCCCATATACCTCTCACAAATTTGAGCCTCGATCTCTTCCTTGTGTCTTCATTGGTTATTATTCTTCCATGAAGGGGTATAGGTGCTTGGATCCTGCTACTGGTCGAGTATATGTCTCTAGGCATGTAATCTTTGATGAAACTCAATTTCCCTTTGCTACAGTTTCTTCTTCTTCCTCATCTTCTCCTTCTTTGTCTACTCTTCAGTCTTTCTTTTGGCCTTCTCCAACTGTTGCTCCTCTTTCTTCTCCCTCTCCTTCTTCTCCTTCTCCATTACCTATCTCTTCTGCACATTCCTCATCAACTTCTTCTTCATCTTCATGTCCTTCCTTGGTTGCTCATCCTGGTATTCAACTAACAATACCTATTCTTCCTCATCCTTCTCATTCTTCCGCTAATACTCATCCTATGCTTACTCGGTCCAAAGCTACCTCTTCTCTGTGTTTATCAGCTTCTGTTTCTCCATCTCTTATTGAACCTACCTCCTATAAAGAAGCTCTTCAGTCTCCTCATTGGTTGGCAGCTATGCAGACTGAGTTTCAAGCTCTTTAAAATCAGCATACTTGGACTCTAGTTCCACCTTCTACTGCCACCCATGTTATTGGTTGTAAATCAGTATTTCGAATTAAGAAACATTCTGATGGTACTATTGCTAGGTACAAGGCCCGATTGGTTGCTAAAGGTTACTTGCAAGAAGAAGGTGTTGATTTTCATGATACCTTTTCTCCAGTTGCTAAACAACCTACTGTTCGGATTTTATTTTGTTTAGCTCTTCACTTTAACTGGTCTATTCGACAGTTAGATATCTCAAATGCCTTCTTGCATGGTACTCTTGATGAAGATGTTTTTATGCATCAACCTCCTGGTTTTGTTTGTCCTAATCAACCTTCCTTTGTTTGTAAACTAAACAAGTCTCTCTATGGGCTTAAACAAGCTCCTCGGGCTTGGTACACAGCTTTTTCTTCCTAGCTTATTTCCACAGGATTTGTTCATAGTCAATGTGATCATTCTTTGTTCATTCAGAAAACTGCTTCCTCAATTACTTATCTTCTTGTCTATGTTGATGACATTTTAATTACTGGCAACTCCTCTTCTCATATTCAATCTCTCATCTCTCATATGAATTCAGTTTTTGCTCTTAAGGATCTTGGTCTGGTTAGTTACTTTCTAGGTATTGCTGTCCATCACACTCCTACTGGTTTGTTTTTGTCCCGACAAAAATATGCCGCTGATATTTTACTCAAAGCTGGTCTTGCTGAATGCAAGTCTTACTCTTCTCATTTGTCTCTCAAACCTTTCTTCTCTTCTTCTGCTGATGATTCCTTGCCCTTTCATAATCCTTCTCTCTATAGAAGCAATGTGGGAGCTCTTCAATACCTCACTCTTACTCACCCTGATCTTTCCATTGCTGTTAACATGGCTTGTCAACATATGCATCTGCCTACTGTCACCGATTTTGTAGCAGTCAAACGGATCCTCAGATATCTTACGGGTACTCTACACTTTGGTATTAATTTCAGTCATGGTTCTTTTGATCTGCATATCTTCTCTAATGCCGACTGGGCTGGTGATCCCTCTGACCGCAGATCTATTTCTAGGTTTTGTGTTTTTTTGGGTTCTCACCTCATTTCTTGGCAAGCCAAGAAACAACCTACTATTGCTAGGTCTTCCACTGAGGCAGAGTACAGAGCTTTGGCCCATGCTACAGCTGAAGCTTCTTGGGTTCAAATGCTTCTTGCTGAAATGTTCTTGTCTTCTTCCACCATTCCAACTCATTGGTGTGATAATCTGTCTGCCATTTCCCTTGCTTCTAATCCTGTTTTCCATGCCCGGACCAAACATATTGAAATCGATTATCATTTTGTTCGGGAAAAAGTTCTTCAAAAGCAACTTCAAATTCGCTATGTTCCTTCCTCTGAGCAGATCGCTGATATTTTTACTAAACCATTGACTGTCTCTCGCTTCCTTTATCTGCAATCCAAGCTTCTGGTGACTGCTGCCCCATTCAGCTTGAGGGGGGGCTGATAAAGATTCAACACAGCACCACTTACCACAGCAGTCCCAACAGTCCACAGTTGCAGCTACTATACCAGATAGTTGAGCACACAGTGCACAAGAAGGGCCAGAGCAGTAGTTCACGAAAGCTGAAGATATATCACACACCATGAGCTGTGTAACATGTTAACAATTCCCTTGTATTGTATACAGTTAGTTTGTTGTATTGTATGCAGTTAGTTTGTTATAGAGTAGTTAGTTAGATTAGTTAGGTTGTTAGATGATTAGTTACAGATTTATAAAGTTGTATATAATGTAATTGTGAGATGAAAATAGTAAGCAATATTCAGACTTCTTTCATATAGCAGTCTTGGGAAGCAAATATTTGATATTTATATTCAGGTAATTTTTTCATGTCCGTAAACATATACCTTTTTTTTTAATTTTTGTTTTTTTTATTTATTAAAGTTATAAGGAATGCTTAATCAATTTTCTTTTTGTCTTAGGGACAATTAGTTAGGAAGGATTTCAATATTGAAGGTGTGGCTGGTGGGGCTCTAAAGCCAGTGATAGAACAATTCAATACCAGCGTGACAGATAATATTTTGGAAATCCGATTTTTTTGGGCTGGCAAAGGGACTACACATATTCCTAGGAGAGGTGTTTATGGCCCCATAATATCAGCTATTTCGCTTAATCCTAGTAAGTAATTTGTATAGCTTTCTTTCCTTCTTTTTGCTTATATTCTGCTTATATAATCTGTGTGTACATATATAATTCAAAGTAAGCTTTCCCAAGACAAGTTATTTTGAGGCCCAAAGGTACTATTGTTTTTATGGAACTAAGTTGCCAACCTCTTTGTGCCACACCAAAAATTAAAGGCCATAGTGCATTATAAAGCCAGTATAGATATTCTGTCTCTAATCAGTGTTTGTCATCTGAGAGTCTCTTGAATAGTTGTAGCATTTTATTTTTGGATATTGAAATTCCTGGAACTAATTTGATGCACCATTAGGCTTAATTACTCACATGGATGGTGTTGAAGGGATTTCCAGTTTTTACCAAAAAAAGAAAGAAAGAAAGAAAGAAAGAAAGAAGGGATTGCCAGTTTTGTCCAAACATTGGTGTAAATACACCATGCGATGTTCCAAACCTATGCAAACACAGTCTTGACAACCTGTGATTGCGCATGTCCTTCGTGGATTTAATTTTAATTTTTGATGAGATCTTCTTTTTTTTTACTGTTGTTGGAACTAGCAGCACATCCTGGGCTGGTGCACTAAAGACCATCTCATTCATCATGACCTTGCAATATTGTTTAATTGGATTTCATAAGATCATTGATCTAGACCATGAATGGACTAGAAGTCAACTATCATTTGGATCCATATCATTTGGTTGCTTAATATTTTTTATTCATCACCCTCATAGTAAGTACGTGAACCAAATAAAATCAAGTTACAATTCTCAAGCTCTCCATTTTCCATCTTTGTTTGCAGTTTGTTTTATTATTATTATTTTTATCGTAAGTCTTAGTTGGTTTTCAATTTTTTATTTAATATTTTATTTATTTATTTATGAGTCTTATTTGGTTTTTAGATACGTTTAAAGGGTCAAACTCTTAGTTTCCAAACAAGAAGTTAAACTTGAGTTCAAAATTCTTGAAGCAATTTTAAAACCTAGGTTTATTTATCGAAAACAGATATCTAATCCTAGGTGTGATGCCTACGAAAATCTAGGTGGAATGCCTCGTTTTATGAGCGATTCCTTTCTTCTTCTTTATCTATCTTGCTATTTTAATCCTTTTAATCCACTACAAGAATTTACACAATTGCCGACCACTTTAATTTGTCATACTCTTCTTTATCTATCTTGCTAGTTGGCTGCTGTCTTCATCAGCAGCAGATTGGTGCATTGTGCTCTGTTGCTGTGTAACACTGTGGCAGCAGTGTGGGTCTGCCCCTCTTTATTTCTTCTTTTTTATTCTTTCTTTTCCTTTGGTGGTCTGCATGATCTGTCTGGCTTCATAAAGATCATCCTAATCTGTCTGGATGGGCAGCAGATGGATCTCTCTGGCTTCAGTGTGTGCTCCAGCTCTGTCTGGCTTTTTCCTGATCTGTCAATCATCCTGATCTGTCTGGATGCTTGTTTTTTGAGCAAACTGGTGGTCTATTGTAGACACCCCATTTTTGACCGTCCTCAAGACTTGGACGTCACCGTTTGAACACTCGGTGATTATCCATGTTTTTGTTCGTTTGGAGTTTCCGGAGGTCTCGGCTCGCGCGCCTTGCCTCAGGATCTCCGAACTTGACTGTTTAGTGTCTGGTTTCACACCAAACACTCGTGTTTTTCCTTGGAGGGGCAAGGAATGCCTTGTGAGGCATCCCCACACTCTTCTTTCTTTTCCTTTGGTGGTCTGCATGATCTGTCTGGCTTCATAAAGATCATCCTGATCTGTCTGGATGGGCAGCAGATGGATCTGTCTGGCTTCAGTGTGTGCTCCAGATCTGTCTGATCCTGATCTGTCTTGATGGTCATCCTGATCTGTCTGGATGCTTGTTTTTTGAGCAAACTGGTGGTCTATATTGTGAAATTAGAAATTTTCACAATTTTTGTTCGAAAAAATGTCGAATTTCACAATTTCTGAAATTACAATGTTTAAGAAACTGCAAAAGTGCAAACTTTCTGTAGTGAAATTGATAAACTTCTTGATTTTTAAATATTGCCTAATTTCTAAATTTATAATGCTACACATTAGAAACTCTCCCAAAAATACATTACAAATCATATATCATGGATTGTGGGCCTTATTCAAGATAATATAGTACTGAGAACACCATCCATTCTGTTGTATGAAAATTTTAGGGTTTGTATTTATTTTGATGGAATATGATCTTCAGGTGGTGATGTTAAATGGCATCGTTACAGAAGAAAGAATACAAATTAATAGTCAACTTTATATGGTGGTGACTATCAACACCAATTAATAGTTTGTATTTATATTAATCATCGATGTATCAAATTTATTAGAGAGCTGCTATAAATTATTTTTTGTTTTAAACATTTTTTTATATCACTGATCAATACATGCATGATAAATATAATATAATATATTAGTATTTGATTTTTCTAATACTTATCTTTAAATAAAAACGATTAGAAACAAAACTACCCAATAGTCACAAACTTAACTTTTTTCCACGTATAAAAAGTTCTGTTTTAAAAGTAGACTACCAAATAGCCCTTTGATGAGTGAATTGGTTGGGTTAGTCAATCGAATTATATTCTGGGTAGTCAAGTGCCACACCCCCTATCCGATCTTCCGGCATTGGCATCTCCCTTTGCCTTTACTCCGATATTGCCGTGTAATGAAACATGTTCATCATCCATTCATTCATTATTTATCAATCTAGATATATAGATTAAACAATATAGATACTTCTTTTTTCTTCTTTCTTTTCCTTTGGTGGTCTGTATGTTGCTGTGTAACATTGTGGCAGCAATGTAACACTCGTTTCATCACAACATGACAGATCAGGAGCCTTTAGAAGCCTTGGCAATACTAGTTTCATCAGAAGGCTTCTGCAAAGCAATTGTATCACATAGCAGCACACACAGTTGGGGTACTGATTGTGGTTGGTTCTGGATTGAAATTTAATTCACATGAAAGGTTCATTGAGGATTTCTAGGAGTTATTGACAATATGGATAAATTTCAGTTGCCATGTTGGTTTCTGCTGTGTGACACTATATTGGATCTGGAATGGTGGCTGATCCAATTTATTCTATACGCATAAGAATGCTATTGTTTTATTTACAATTCGATAATGATAGTCGTTGAATTTGCTAATGTGACCTTTGCTTTTCATGGAGATTTTTCATTATTTGTCCAATTTTATCTGACATTATTTCTCTTTTTCTGTGGTACAGATGGATGAACTTGTGCACAAAGCTAAATTGTACAAGACAAAATGGTACTTTTTGCATTTTTGGAAGAATTATATATTTTTGTATAGATGTATACAGAAAATATTAGGGCAGACTAGTAATTATATTTTTGGATACATTACTAGTTATATTTTTGGATGAGTGTGTATAGAAAATATTTGATAGACAACTAGTTATATTTTTGGGTTGATGTACATGGATAAAAATTTAAAACATAACAATTTATGTTTTAAATTTTTATGCTAGATGAAATATGCAGTTTGGAATTATTTGTGGATGTAAACTTATAATAGTTGCTGACTTTAATTAAACAGGTTCAGAAATGGTTGATATATGTAGTTTGTTGAATGTTGATGATTCAATTTATTTGTTGGTTTGAATGATTTTTGCAAATTACAGGTTATATTGAATAAATTGGATGGATTATTATAAATTACAGGTTTATTTTGTTGGATGTTAGAGACCAAAATTTGGTTTTGTTTTTATAGTTTTGGTGACCAATTGATTAGTTGAGAAAGATAAGTTATACTTTTGCCGACTAAATAAAGTAGTTGGTGTATCACAAAGCACATTTGGCGACTAAATAATTAGTCGTTAAAATTATTAATTTTGGCAACCAAAGGATTTGGTCGCGAATAGGTCTATTGCTGACTAAAGTTTTAGTTGCGCAAACATTTCTTTTGGCGACAAACACGTTTGGTCGTGGAATGTGACGATTGGCGACTAATTATTTTGGTCATAGAATGTGACAATTGGCGACCAAATTAAGAGGTCGCAGAATGTCGCAATTGGCCACCAAAAATTTTGGTCGCAGAATGTTATAATTGGTGACCAAAAATTTTGGTCGTGAAATGTGACAATTGGCGACCAAACTAAGAGGTCGCAGAATGTCACAATTGGCGACCAAAATTTTTTGTCGTAAAATGTCACAATTGGCGACCAAAAAGAGGTTGGTCGTGGAATGTGACAATTGGCGACTAAGATATTTGGTCGGCAAAAGGTGACTTTTCGCGACCAAAATGTTTTAGCGACACAATGGATTAGTCGCAGTAATGATATATTTAGCGACCAAAAATTTAGTCGGCAAATCCAACTTTTTCCGACCAACCAAAATTTTGGTCGTGAATTATTTTTGCCGACCCTCAATTGGCGACCAAAGTAGCGACCAAAAAAATTGGTCGCGGGTAACTTTTGTCGACTAAAAATGGGCTTTTAGCGACCAATTTTTTTGTTGCCAAAAGTGTTAATTCTTGTAGTGACATACACACACAACTAACTAAAATTTTCTTTGTTTTTTTTTTTTAGTAATGATTCCTATGAGTGTTCGTGGATCGAGTTTGGTCGGGTAATCTCACATCCGTCATCCGTCCGAACTTAAACAGATTAAAAAAAATCAATTTGAATCCATCCAATTAGTTACGGATTGAGTGAACCATGGGATTAGGATTTACTATTTTCAGTACTTCTTTATTTTGGGTCTTATTTGAACCTATTGGCTATTTTGACACTTTGAAGGTTAGAAGTGTAATTAATGCAATCCTGGAAAGATCTGAAAAGTCTTGACAGAAAATAAATGTAAATTTTGTCAAACAACTGCGTTAACTTCTCTTAGCCACAATGAAGAGAACTTTATTGTGTTGTGTTAAAAAGATAAATCAATATTTTTAACTTGAATTCGTAACAGAATGAGACGAGGAGGCTGGACAGAAATTGCAATTGATTAATTGAATAAACAATTACAAAGGGTTACCATCAGTAAGAGTAACTTTAAAACTTTAGACCAACCAAGTTGTCACGGCCCAAATCCACCCCTATAGGTTTAGCATCGTAACCGGTCTGTAATCCTTAGATTACCAAAGGACTCTGAATAGAGTAACATATAATCAAGGGGTTGCAGAAGCAAATATACAAAATACGGCGTCCATTGAGTTGTGCAGACATACATGGGACAAAATAATTTTAAACTTTATAAGCGTACACATGACGTCATCCGGATATAGTAATTGTATGTCACCCCATGTACAGATAACCAAAAGCAAACTGTTCATTAAACAAGAGAAGACAAAGTCTTGAACGTTCAAAAAGACATGACCACATGGCTTGACTTAATCCGGAACCTCCACGGGAGGCGCAAAGGGCGGCTGACAAAACGGGATTTCAAGGCATCAACTTTGAGCCTGGTCATGCACCCGATCACCTACATACATAAACACTAGAGTGAGCAGAAGCCCAATGAATAATAACAAGATAAAGAGTTCAATGAATGATATCCATCTCAGAGTTAGATAACAGAGTTCATAACTGAAACAGATTCTTATGCATATTCAAATTTCAAATCAGAAACAGATTCAGGTTCACGTACTTATCCAGAAATCATAACAGTTATAAGTGGTACATCCATTAGCTATCACATCAACTTAGTCCTGAGACTTACATGTATAATCGGTACCGACGACCACAAAGTCCCATATCTTGTGCACAAGTAGCCATGGTATTGTTACCTCTAGGCGAGGGCTACGTGAATATAGGCCTCGGTATTGTTATCCCCGGATAAGGGTCACGTGAGCATAAGCCACGGCATTATTACCCCTGGGCGAGGGCCACGTGAACATAAGCCACAGTATTGTTACCCCTGGGCGAGGGCCACATATATATCAACCACGTATTTTTACCTCCGGGCGAGGGCCAGGCGAACTATGGATGCGACAAATACATTTCAGGAAAATGGGTATTCATTCATGATTTACAAATAGTATTTCAGAGAACAGTTCACATCATATCAGTCAGAAAATACTTATTAGTAAACATAGCTTTACAAGGTTATTACTCACTATTAATAGATGGCTTCAAGGCAAACAGACAGAATGGGCAAATTAGACGTCTTGTGGCGCGTGACCTACACAGTCACAAAATGAACACATATTGAATTACACACCCGAAAACATTTCTTAATTCTTTCTTATCTTGGTGTCTTTTTACTTCTTATCCTCATTATGGTGTCTTAATTTTGGCCTAGGAATGCCTAAGATGCAATGAGGATGCCAAAATGCACTTGAAAACACTTAGTCAAAATGTTGAAAACAGGGGTCCCCGCTCAAGCGCAACTTCCCACGCTCGAGCGGACATGAAAACATATGAGCAGCCGCTCGAGCGCAATTTCCCTCACTAGAGCGGTCTGCAAACTTTGGAA